ACATTTCATCGATGCCAAGCATACAATCACGTTGTCTCTCGTCTGTGAATTGCAAAACTTTCTCCTTCATTGCATTAAAAATCGATTCTAATATTCCTGGGCAAAAATCAATACCTTCAATACTTCGTTGTAAAGTACGCTTAGATGGTAACGGAATGTTTTGTTTTATAAGTTCTTTATAGCCATTGTCAGTACAAGAAAATTTGATACGTAGAGCTTTTTTAATAGTTTCTTTAGACCAACAATATACACGTCGTTTACTTGATTTTGCTTGCAGCCACTGAATTTGATCATTATTAAAAACTTTTTGAAGTAATTTAGTTGATTGTAATAATGTATTTTCTACTCGTATTCTATTCCTACTCAATCTTCTACGATTCATAAGAATTTTCTTCGACTTTTCGTATTTACGAAGAACTTTCGGCATTCTCAAGTCTTTGTTTCATTTTTTTTATTTCTACATCTTTATCTTCAAGTTGTTTGTTATAAATGTCTTAGCGGAATATGAGGAGGCGTCACAAAAATAACTGAGGGTGACTTCGTTGTTAAACGACTAACTTTACTGTTCTTTATTGAATACTATATGTGAGCAATACAGGCAACACGCCATATTATCTTCTTTAATAATAATGAGTATATAGAAAGGTGACCGATGTCGTTAGAACCACAGCTCTGCGCCATCTGTAATAGATTGTCGATCTATCGATCGAGTTGCAATGGGGTTACAATGTGGATCGATTCATTGCTCCAACACTACCCCTCGAGACACACCTGGAATCCTTATATGAGCCCTAATTCTTTTAGGCACCAGACATGTTTTTCCTTTGTTAATCCCTTAGTCATGATGTCAGCGACCATCTGCTTCGTTGTGATATAGTTCACGTTGATGATTCCTTTTTCCAGTACTTCTCTTATGAAATGGTGTTTAATATCAATATGTTTAGTGCGAGCATGAAAAATAGGGTTCTTTCCAAGTTTGCCTGCACCGATGTTATCACAAAAAATATCTATCTTGTGATCAGGAAATACCTTTAATTCTTTTATAAAGTCTTGCAAGTAGATGGCCTCCGCTGCTTCCGTTAGTGACATGTATTCCGCTTCCGTTGAGCTTAATGCCACAGTCTTTTGTTTCTTTGAGCTCCACGATATTGCAGTGCCGTTGAGTAAAAAGGTGTATCCCGTGTATGATCTTCTGTCAACAATGCAGCTACCCCAATCGGCATCAGAGTATCCAATCAGCGGTTTGTTTAAATGCTCGAATTTTAATTTGTAATCTATAGTACCTTTAAGGTATCTCAATATCCTTTTGGCGGCAATCCAATGATTTTTGTCGAAATAGTCGTTAAATTGGCTCAAATAGCTTACGGCGAATGTTAAATCTGGACGAGTACCTACGGCGAGATACATTAGAGTGCCTATGAGTTCTCTGTAAGGTAATTGTAGATCTTCTTCGGTTCGGTTTTCACTTCTTGTTAATTTCATGCCTGCTTCCATAGGAGTGGATACTGGTTTACATTCCGACATGTCAAATCGATTTAAAATGCTTCTAATGTAGCCAGTTTGGCTTAGTGAAATAGAATTTCCCTCTCTTTCAAATTCTAGGCAATGTTTAGCTTCGCCCATATCTTTAATTTCAAACTGCTTAGAGAGGTGTTCTTTCAATTTATCAATTAATATTGTGTTCCTGGAGAACACCAATAAATCGTCTACATATACTATAATCAGGATTAATTCGTCCCCTTTGCCGGTGAAGTAGACACATGGATCTGCAAGTGTAGGTTTTACGCCAAACTCTTGTAGTTCCTTATTGAGTCGCATAATCCAACTTCGTCCTGATTGGCGTAGTCCATATAGTGCCTTTTTTAATCTACAGACTTTGTCTCCCTTCTGCAGCTGGTTTAGCATGTTCCTAACCTTTGTTTTGAGATTCGTGAGTTTATTATTTTTCTTCAAAATAAATTCTAAAGTCTCTTCAAGGAGCTCCGGTATTTCTATGTATAGCTCTTCGTTAATTGGACTATTTAGGAACGCTGTGATATCAAATTGTTGAATCTTCATATTGAGTTGTGCAGCTATGGCACATGCCATTCGAATGGAGCTTAATCTTGCTACTGGAGCGTACGTCTCATTAAAATCTATTCCTGGGCGTTGTAAAAACCCTTGAGCCACTATCCTGGCTTTTCTTCTTTCAATCTCTCCGGTTTGAGTATATTTATTTCGGAGAATCATCCTACTTCCGATGATTTTCTTGTCCTGCGGTCGATCTACTAGCTCCCAAGTATCTTTGCTTATCAATGATTTAACTTCAGAAGCCATTGCTTCCATCCATTCCTTGGAATGCATGCTCGATAATGCTTGACTCATTGATATTTCGGCCATGTATGCCGTCTCGCATATATTTGCATTTTCTTGCTGATACTGTTTGCGTGGTCTTCCTGGATTTCCGGTCCTTATTATTTTTGGTCTGCCTGGTAGTCGTCGCGTGGGTTGTAGATTTTCCTCTTCATGGTTTCCATTGGGGTTGTCTTCGTCGCTACTTTCATCTTCGATGTCATGTGCATTTATATTTGTTTTTGGCGTTAATTCCACGTCAACACAATGATCATCAGTAGCTGATGTTTCTTGACTCTCTAGTGGGGTGAAGTCATCAATGGAATTTCTTGTGAATGAAATCACATCTTTTAAAAATCTTACATCTCTTGTTATTTCAACTCTTCTTTCTTCTAGTAACCAAATCTTATAAGCTTTGGATTTATCCGAATATCCTAATAGAATTCCTTTCTGTGATCGAGGCTGGAACTTTCCCTTGTTAGGTGACCTATCTAGACAGTATATTTCGCATCCAAAACGTCTAAAGTATTTAACGTTCGGTGGTCGACCCATCCATTTTTCATAAGGTGTCCTGTGTTCTAGACTCTTCGTTGGACATCTATTTCTTACGTAGCACGCTGTTGATATTGCTTCTGCCCAAAATGAAGAATGTATATTTGTCTGTATTATCGAACATCTTGCTGACTCCACTAAAGTTCTGTTCATCCTCTCGGCGACACCGTTTTGTTGAGGACTGTATGGTGTACTTAACTCGTGTTTTATACCGTTTTCATCAAGAAAGGCTTCGAATTCTCTGCTTATAAATTCACGTCCGTTGTCAGATCGGAGTCGTTTGATGGTCCTACCATGTTTGTTTTCTACGAATGCTTTATATTTCTTAAATTTCTCCAGGGCTTGATCTCTGCTTTTGATGAATCGCACCTCGCACCACCTGGAACAATCATCTATAAAAGTAATAAAATATTTAGCTCCACCATTTGAAGTTATTCTCATCGGTCCACAAATGTCAGTGTGGATGAGTTCCAAAATCTCCGTAGTGGTATTAGACTCCTTTGGAAAAGCCGGTCGAGACATCTTTCCTTTGATACATGTTTCGCAGTGAAAATCTCCAGTCAACCAGTTGGCATCTATTCCTCGTATAGCTCCGCTAAGCACTGCCTCGCGTAAATCTCGTACATTTAAATGACCGAGCCGATTATGCCAAATTTTTAACGGGTTATTTGAAGTCTCAGCTATTTGGCATTCGTTTTTCGAATTTTCGTGAACAAAATATAAGTCGTCTTTACGCATCGCGATTAACTTCAGATTTCCGTCTTTGTCCGACACTTTTGCTTTATAGCGATCAAAAGTTACTGAAAGTCCGCGATCGGTTATTTTTGCCACGGATAGTAAGTTAGCACGTAGGTCTGGTACATAGAGAGTTTCGTTTAGTTCAATGTCATTTATTTTCCTTCCAACGTTTGTTGAAAAGATAACCGGTCCTTTACCAAGTATCATAGTCGATGTGTCACTCGCTAGGTTAAGTCTACCCGAATGTTTTGTGTCAATATTCGCGAACGCGGTTTTATCGTTGCACAAATGCGACGTGCACCCACTGTCAATGCACCACAGCTTATTATCGTCAGCGCGTAGTGCTGCTTGTACATTGTCGCCTTGTTTTATATAGAGACTCACCTTCTCTGTATTGTCCGCCAATTGCTTCTTATTCTTTGTAAAGCAGTCAGATGCTTTGTGCCCCATCTTTCCGCATTCAAAACATCTCAGACTTTTCTTTCTATCCTTGTCTGTCTTGTCGAACTTATTTTTATAATGTTTCTTAAAGTTCGTCTTCTTTTCGACAGCTAGTGCCTCTTGGCCGGAACTAGATGGCGTTTCGCCTCTTCTCGCGTCATTTTCCTCTAGTATTTTCACGCGTAGGATTTCTGGAGATGGCAGCTCATCTCGAGATTCTATTGCACACCTGAAGTTCTCGTATGCTGTAGGAAGACTGTATAAAAGCATGACTGATAATAGATCTGGGTGGATAACAACATCCATTTCTGTCAGCTTATCGACTGCGTCGAAAAATTTTGCCATGTGGTCACGTATATCGCCCCCTGCATCCATCCTTTGTAGCGTGAGTCGTTTCAGTAGAGTGGCCTTTCTAGCTGGACCTTTAGATTGATATATACTTTCGAGTTTCAGCCAGATTTCGCGTGATGTTCGACATCCTTTAACTTGTATTAACTCACTGGCACTGATGGATAAAATTATGTCCGATTTGGCTTTACTGTCCTTCTCTATCCATCCTCGTTCTGCCGATTGTGATGTCGGGTCGTTAGCAACCGCTGCAGGTTTTTGAATTGCACCACTCACATATGACCATGCATCGTTTTTCACTAATAATGCTTCCATCTGCATTTTCCAACTGTCATAGTTGTCTTTATTAAGTGCTTCGATGCGCACTAGTCCACTGGTATTCATCTCTGCTGATGATTTAGAATGCACGTGTCGTTATGAGAACAAAGAATCACACGGACGCCTCGTCGCACTTATTACGTCCTCTTTTCTTTTGAGTCAGATTCCGCACGTATTATACTTTACGCGCGTCTGGGCCCATAACCTGTTATAAATGTCTTAGCGGAATATGAGGAGGCGTCACAAAAATAACTGAGGGTGACTTCGTTGTTAAACGACTAACTTTACTGTTCTTTATTGAATACTATATGTGAGCAATACAGGCAACACGCCATATTATCTTCTTTAATAATAATGAGTATATAGAAAGGTGACCGATGTCGTTAGAACCACAGCTCTGCGCCATCTGTAATAGATTGTCGATCTATCGATCGAGTTGCAATGGGGTTACAATGTGGATCGATTCATTGCTCCAACATTGTTGATGCAATAATTTTATTTGTTGGAGAGCACACTCTGATATAGATGATGTAATATTGGATATAGGCAATGTTGCTGTAGATATATGTGTGTTATTATTTTCGTTTTCAGGAAGCTCTTTAACAGTATTTATGAATTCAGTGTTAATATTTTCATTGTTATCATTATTTTGAAATGTGTTATTATTAAAATCGTCCACAGAATCGATTGTTATATCTGAAAGTTGATTATAATGAATAAATAGGATGATGAATTAATTTCAGCCCGAAAATGATTTGTGTAAATGATATTCGTACGTTTATTAATATTTTCCTCGTTATTTTTGTCATTTCCCTTTGTTTCCAATCCCACAGATTCAGCTACTCCAAGAAGTTTGTGTTGAACCGGAAAAATTGTTGGTATTGCACATCTTTTCAATTTTTTTTTTCCATCTTGTCGAAGTCTTTCCCACATTTCCTTGTCAAAATGTACCTATATAAATAAAACATGAGGAACATTATTGTTATTGAAAATATTCAATACATAAAATAAATAAATAAATTTATTTTATATAATTACACGTTTACCTCACAAATAGATGAATATGGCTTAGGTTTCCAGTTTTCTTTCCCGATATGTTGTAGCCATAATGCCTTTCTTCTTATATCTACAGGAAAAGTTGTCATATAATATCCTTGTTCGCTTCTGTTGCGACAACCCTGTATGCAACAGCCAGTCATTTTCTACAAAATAACGCTTTTTAATAGAATTGAGGTTATGACACTAGCTTTATTCTTATACATCCTTATTTTTTATTACTTCGTAAAATTTTAACAATTTAATCCTTAATTACATATACTTACTTATTCGCTAATAATTAGAATTTATTAATATTAATTGAAACGTTGACACTTATATAAATATACCTACCGTTATTCTATTCTTGTACATAAGTATGTTTACTCCGTGTACGTATACGACGTACGCATGCGGCATGCGCTATATGCAGTAAAAGTATGCCATTTTTAATCCAACTAGAAGATTGGCGCAACTCTTACTTCTAGGGACTCTAGTGCCCACGCCCGCGGAGGTGCAAATCAGGTACCGCCGCCAAAGAGAGGAGCGTCGATGGGCCTTCAGGAAATTGGACCCCGACGCCCTCGAGGTCAGTCTGCTCTCCTCCACCTGGCCGGATCGCCGGCCAGAAGCTACGGTGGAGGAAGAGGTGGACTGGCTCGGGGACGTTATGTCGCGCGCG